TGATAGCAAGGAATCCCATAGGCTTTGAGCAATATGTAAAATAGGCGATTGAAGAAGCATTGTGCTGCACACTTTATGGTCAATGAGCTGCTTCTCAAACAGCTATAGTCCAGAATTTTTTTTTTTTTTCGATAACAATGACTATCGAGAAATTCTTAAAATATGCCAAAATGCTGCTTCTCGGTTTCGTTCAGACTCGATAATGCTGAAGAGAAACGAAAGTGCTTGCTGGCATTTACCAGCTTAATGTTTGCTTGACAATTTCTCATTCGGTTAAAATACGAATAAAAAGATGATTAAAAATGATAAAGAAATGACTGAGAAATGGAGATGTTAACAGTGGAAAAAGAATCGCCATAGCTAGTCATAAGCGTAGCCAGGGGTGGCAGGATTTGAAAAGCTGGATCTTCCCTTCACAAAGCATACAATAAATGTTCCTATTTTGAGAAGACTGGCAAAATTCAGTCTTTTTTATTGCATTGCATATATTTAAAGCACACTAATCGATGCAGCTTGGATAATTGAGCTACGAAAGACACCCATATTAATCCTAAGCCAAAGGCATATAATGGTAACTGCGTTTCAAAAGGAAAATGCACGCTCTTTCCACGCAAGCGCATAATCAAAAACATAGCCAAAGACAGTGATATTAAAATCAGCAATCTGTCAATACTTCTTTCCTGAGTTTGTTAATTATTCGCATATCAGTCATTACCGCATATTGTCGAGAAGTCGCCCGTTGTGCGTGTTCGGAAGCGAGTGAACTTTGCCACCTGTTTTCACTTCAACAACCATCAAAACTGGGGGACTGAAATTTTAGAGTCAGATTTCCATCCTGTGTTTCGACCTCTCGTTTCAAAATCTTCGCCCACACGAGCCTAGATCTCGCGTTTGGACCCCCGAAAAAATATGCAAATTTCTATGACGGGAAATGATTTCGAGAACCAGACAAGATAGAAATCTGAAACTTTGCAGGAATATCCTCTCTGCATGTGTGAACTAAAGATTTTAAATTCAGTTGTAATATACGCCGCGCGAACGGTCACGTCAGATTTCGCAGTTGGCACTGTGTTAGCTCGAAAACTTGCCGTAAAACAGTGGATGAAATATTGTTAGAGTATTTGCCATTCATGTGAGAACTCGTACACCTAAACTGAGTTTCGATTTGCACTCGCATCAAGACTTAGAGTAATTCATAAATATTCTTAGGAAAGTAGCTATTCCGCTTACTAGGCAATCTGCGAAGCTGAGACTCTGTAATGATATTTTATATTTACGTGTGGTTTTAATTCACTTTGGAGGTGCAATTCCGTACACGCAGACATGAAAAACACTTAATTTTATCCCAAACTCAAAAGCGAGTGCGTTTTAGAAATTTCATTATCCACTCCGGACTCCCGTCAAATTTGTATTTCTTCAATGGACGAGCCTTCACCGGAAAAACGACCGGACTTCATGCAAAAAAACTGATAATCATGCAAGGCTTAAACTATTTATATATTTGGCCCCAACAACTTTCGCAAAAAGGGCGCCTCCTCTGCACGCTACTGTCATCAACTGATACGTTTGATGCTGAGGAAGAGCTTTGTAAGAATAACAAACACCCTGATAGCTTTTTGACAAACTATCACACTTGCTTATCAATAGAATATCATAGATCACCATTTGCCCAATAGAAAAAAATGATGGAGGTTGAGTCACATGGTTTAGGGAAGAAGAAACTTGCATGACTGCAGGAGAAGTGCAGCATATTTCAAAATCCACGTAGTTCGAAAGTAGCGTAAAAACAGAATTGAAGTTTGATGAGGGTCATGTTATTGGTACGTTCCACAAGCATGAATCGTACGTGTGCCTTTCAGTTGCCAGACAAAGCAAGCAGCTGTGTAATTTCATCATACTTGTGCCTGCTCATCAGCCTACAAGCAGATTAATATGCGAAGTTCTCTTCGAAGAGATTGCAGAAAAATTTGGTAAATGTCAGTAGCAAGCGGAAGAGCATTTTTCATAGATTTAGGTACAACAGCCCTGTGGTCCCCGTTGGTGTTCGCTATCACAATCCAGCTGATCGTTTCATATTTCGGCTTTATCTGTTAATTTCCCAGGATCTGTTATGCTGAATTGCCGCACGCAGTATCCTTCTTTCAAATCCGTGATGTGTCTTCGCCCGCAACATGCGACTGTTGCTTCTTGTATTGAAAAAGGGCAATATGCCAAGCGGCCACCAAAATTTATTTGATTTCGTTCTCTCTTCGAACATTTGGCACACACCAATCCATCTCATTCCCATATCTCTCCAAAACCAGGTTCTGTTCATTTCTGCACAAGTTTTTAAGCGATCAAAAATATCGGCCTA